CTTCTTCTGTAAAATAAAGGAATTGGACTAGATGATTACCAAGGCCCCTTCCAGTTCTAAATTTATGATTCCATAAGCTTATATTTTTCCTTGCATGGGGTAGTAACAAAGATAGGACTCAGCACCCTATTTCCAAGTCTAATGTTCTTTCCACCATACCATCCTATATCTCCAATAATTTGATGTTATAAAATTGGCATCTTCAACAGTTGGTATCTATTTGGAGTCTGGAAACCAAGAATTTGAATTCTCTATCATGTTGCTTTATTTTTATGTGGAATATAGAAAGAACATGACTCTGAGGATGGTGGTTCAAACCTCATTTTTGATGTTTACTATTTGTGGGACTTTGGACAAGTCACTTAATCTCCCCATGCCTCAGTTTTCCCATCTGTGTTGGGTCAGATGGCTTCTGACATCCTTCCCAGCTTTAGATCTACCATTATTTACTCATTCCTTTCATTTAAAGCTGTGCCTGTCTGCCTTCTCCTCAAAATTAATATGTAGATGGTATATGGAAAGGGTGATGCTTAAACCATTATTTATCACTGATAGCTTAATAAGAAGTAGTTTATCAGATCCTTTCTAGAAAGCATGTGTTCTGAGCTGAGACAATGTGAGAATGCTAGACTAAAGGAAGAGGACAAGGGGGAGAGGCAGAAGGAAAGAGTACAGAAAAAGGGATTCTGGTATGAAATATATCTAATTCAGAGTTTCTCACAAAGCCATCTTGGCTGTAGTAGTCTTGTTTTAAATTGAAACTTTTAGTTTAGAAAGAGACATTTTCTTATTACCACCACAAAACTTCTGCTCCAAAGACTCATGATGATTTAAAGGTAACTCCAAATTTGAAGAACCCCAGATTCTCAAAGTTTATGCCAGCAAAGTAAATACTCTAGTAGGTTCTACCATGCTGAACAAGCTTCCAGGACAATCACAGAAAAAGACTTCAGATGTTTGTCAAGTTATAGCCTAGATAAATAAAGAGAAATGCACTCCCAGCAGACTGGCCATTTAATAATGAATTCTTTAGCAAAGGCAACCAAAGTCACACATGTAGAGTTACAAAGTACCTCAAAGGATATATATCATCTGACACATATTCTAGCAAAATCTCTGCCATAATACCCAATAAATGAAGATCACCTGTCAGGGTAAATCTCAGTAAAGCCTTTTCCCCTTTTAGACATCTCAAATTGTTATCAAGAAGTGATTCCTGACATCTAGATTAAAGTTGTTTCTTTTCAGCTTCCATGCTTTGCTCCTGGTTCTACTCTCTGCGGCCAAAAAAGAACAAGTCAAGTCCCTTTTCCTCATGATAGGCCTTGAGACACTTGAAGATAGTTATCATTATTATGTTCCTTCTGATTATTCTCCTCTGCATTTGCTCTATATCCATCTTCATCCATCCACTCCTGTCTTCTAAAATAGATTACCCATACTATCAATTACATTAACCCACAAGTACATGCAGTGGTCAAAAGAAAGTGGTTCCAATGTAGAACAATTGTAGCAATTGGAGTAACGCTCAGTTCCTGAAAGTTTTTATGTTGGAGTTCTCAAGAGTTCCCCTTAGGTACAGGATAACTTTGTGCCTTGAATCTGCCTTTCCTCAATATGTCTAGTTTGTTCTTAATTCTTGATGTATAAACAGTACCAGCTGCTATTGCTTACCAGGGAACCAAAGGAAAATGTCTGTATCCTCTAGTCCTCTAAAATTCATGAGTTCATCCTCTGTTCAAGGTTAGAGGGGGCATAGAGGAGGAGACCAAGGCTGAGGATGAATCCTCTCCTTTCTTAACCATTCCCTCATTCAATTCCTAGAGGCTTCTACCACTAAGCTGCTAAATTCTGGATTCTTTGATTGTGAACTAGCTTCCTGGCTTTATGCAAACCCCATAGGCCATGACCAAATCGCTCAACTAATTCAAACAGACCTCTTGTCACATATAGTTGTAATGCCTTGATTGAATGGGTATTCCCAGGCCTTGTTCACACCTACTTCACACAGCTGATTGATTGATTCAATATTTCTCCCCCACAAAGGTCTCAGGGCATATTTTTGGGTCTGTTAATTCAAGTGGAATAGATTGGTTTTATTGATTGACTGAATTGACTCCAATATTTATTCTGACGTAACTGGGAGAAGTAAATTCCAGTCCTTCTATGTATAAACAGTGTGCATGACTGATTCAGTCACCAAATGGATTTTTAGAGCTTGTGCAAACATTCTGTAGCTAGTTCAGGTCTGCTAAATATGTGGTGGACAGACTCAGATTTATGATTGCCTTCAGTACCAGAGATGGGGTACATTCAAAGGTAACTAACTGCCCAAAACAAATCTCTTTGTCTTTCCATCTTGACTGCACCTGTAAAGCCTTAAGTCTATAGATAGGGAAAGGTCTTGAGCTATTCTCACCCAAAGCTGACATGTGGCCCATGAATATGGGTCTCTGTTCTGTCCCTCTTCGTGTTTATTATTCCTTGCTTTTAGGTGAAGGATGTATTAGAGACCTTTTATAACCTTCTGAGCCTTTACAGATTGAAATGATGAGCCACCAGAAATCCAGGAACCATATACCAGATTTTGCAGCTAGCCAAGATGGTAAGGACCCACCATGGATCACTGGCAACCAAAAAAGGAGCTACAGTGATTCATCCATCAGCTGTACCAAATTTGGAAATAAACTTGGTGGAGGCAAATGCATTATAGAAATTGCCTTAAATTCCAATCTATTCTCCTAAAGGACTGAGAATGTGCCCTTAGGTGTTAGGTGAAAATACTTATAACTTCTATTCTTGCTATATATTCTCAAAAAAACATCTATTTACAAATTTTAATTGATTTTAAATAAATTTTAAATGATACTGGGATATTATTCATTGGCTATTGATATTGGGGAAAATACACCAGAATGCCAAGTCTTACAATATTAGAAAAATACACAACCACCTGTCAGGGGTACCTCCAGAATCCTAGGGGGTGAGGAGTAGCCATGTTCAGATAATTGACTTTATCAGAATGGGAACTGGGATAATAATGTCCTGAATTTACATGAACTTCACTAGTTACTGATATGGGAGTTCTTTCTGAATCAATTGTATACAATCAAAATCATTGACTTATTAAAGAGAGATCAAAATAAATACTAGATTGTAAGGAGATATGGCATGCAATTAATAATTTTACAACTGAAACTACATTAATAAGGCACATGGGAACTGGTTAAAATCAGTGAACAGAAAAAAATAGTTCACAGAAACCTTGGTGAGATATTTAATTGTAAGAGATCATTCTAAGAGCATTAAGGATAAAACTAGAAGGACAACAGAAAAAATAGAAAAGATATGTCGAAATTTCTATAAAAAAACTTTTTTTTTCAAAGATGATATCACAGTAGAAAGACACATGATAGTAGCAAATAGGTTGTGGCAAATCACCAACTTAGAATTGAACAGCAAAATGAGTTTAACAATAATAATGTATAATAAATAATAATAATTTAACAATGCATTATTATAGATTTATATTACTATTAAAGTAAATAGACCTGGTACATAGCAAGAATGCAGATAGGAGGCAGATAATAAATAAGCTCTAGCAATGTCTACCTAATATGAACAGATTTACAGGATTAGCTCCCACATATATGGCAGGCTTTGTTTGAAAGTTTGTGGGAAGACATGGACAGGAGTCCTATAGGTTGGAAAGGTATGCCTAGGTTAAATTATACGTCATTGGTGAGAACACTTATAGTCATGAGATCACAGATCCACAGAAATATGAAAAATGCAAATGAACTGGGATTGAGATTTAAATTGAGATTTTAAAAATGACCTGTATCAGAAAAAAAGCTAAAGGAACTGAGTTTATCTAGTTAGTGAAGAGACAGTGAGTGATAATTAAATGTCAGATGTATTCTATCAGTGTGTCATTGTGAGAGCAAATAGTTATTGGATATACACTGAGAAGGACAAGAGGCTTAGGTTCTTCTAGAAGGAAAGGTTTAGGCTAAACACCAACATAATCTTCCTCATCTTAAAGAATATGAAACATATAACTAAGGAAATAGGCAGCTGCTTTTATTGGAAATGTTTAAGGAAACAGTCTTGCACAGAATAGGTAAGGTATAGTTTTATGATTCTGTATCAAAGGAGTCTTCAAGTAGTCTTGTAATGAAAGATTGTGAGACTGTGCATCCTCTTAGGGCTGAATCACAAATATTACCACAGCGACACATTTTGAAGATACTATGACAAATGTGTCTGAAAACCAATCCATAAAATGACCTGAGATGAGTTAATAGAGTCATGATAAAGATATGTTTTCTGTTTTTTGGAATGAATGCCTTTGGAATTAATCTCAGATCAATTTAACCAAATAAGTGAGTCTCTTAAGTTACCGCATTATTTAAATGTCTCTTCCTTAATCCATTCTATCCCAATAAATGATTATTTTCATGCACAATTACCTCCTCTATTTTTCTATCAAAGTTTATCTGTCTATCCATTTGTCTTACATGTACATAGAAACTTTTAGATATACAGACCAAAAGGCTTGAACATGGACAGTGGGAAGAGGTATCTGTTGGTGAAGAGAATACATAAAATTGGATTTTGCAGTGATGTCACAAATATAATAGTGTGGATCAAATGTGAAAACCTTTAGAAAATGGATTTCACATCTCCAAAGTATTTTTAAATTGAAAACTGTTATTACAAAATCACTTGATTTTATTTTAAAAGTAAAGATGAAAGAAGTTTATATAAAGTTTAATCAGTAACTAGGATTCAATAACTTAAAACCTGTATTCAAATATCAAAAAAGTTCAAGATGAATATTTCAAAGTTAATATGTAACAGGCTTAAATATCTAGTTTTTCCATTACTATAGGTTTGTTTTGTTGTTTTGTTTTGGTTTTTTTTGAGGAGGTAGTGGAAGGTAGAGAAAGAAGAGTTAAATTAGCATAGACCATAAAATAGGAGAAGCAGCTTCTTACCTGCTCAGATAATTTTTTTCCATTGATGTGAGCCTGCATAACAGCATCATTAACAAGTAAGTGGAAGTTCAGAAGTACATGTTCTATGTCATATATCCCATGAATAGTATCAGAAAGTTCTTCCAGTGATCGGATATATCCCTGCCAATGAGGGTCAATTTCTGCCACATTAGCCAAACAGCCTCTTACAACATTAAGGCAGTAGCCCATACATGGCTTACTTAAAGTCAGAGCCTGGCAATGGGGACAGTATTGCATCTTCAAGAGGGCTTTGCTGCACTCTTTTGAGAACTGCAGATGATCGGTGGTATTGATGACTTCGATGCCTAAATTAAGAGCCTGCAGGAAAGTCCGGCTGGGTAACAATGATCTCCCCATTTGTCCCATTACAATTTTGGGAATGTTTCCAAAGGGGTTAATATCTCGCCTTGCCATTCGAATGCATTCTGAATATTCCAGTGAAATATCAGTCACACCAGGGTTAATGAGATGATTGTAGACCAAAGGAAACAGAGTGTCAAAGAATCTGTTAACAAATTCATCTGGACTGATGTCGGTGCCAAACACAAAGAGCCCTACATCTGTGAAGAGCTCCTGAACTGAGGCAGCAGCCTCTAACGCCATGTTCCTATAAGTATTGCAGAATAAGGTGCTTGTGTAATTCTCTGCCTGCTTGATGAGAGTTTCAAAGGTCTCTGTAACAAGAAGGGAAAGCAGAGATAAGACATCTGAATATTCAGTCAATTGATCAATCAATCAATTAATCAAATCTTTATTAAATGCCTACTAGGCTCCTACATGCTCATCATTATGCACCGAACTAAGGATACAAACATAAAATTGAAACAGTACCTACCTTCAAGAAGCTTATATTCTACTGGAACATTGGAGTTAAAAAGACTAAATTGTCATCTTTGGTCAAGAGAGTAAAGGAATTTCACAGACAATAAATCTAACTAAAGCTAATTAATTCATCGTTGCTCTAATGATCATGAAGTATAAACTTAGATTTCAGTGATTATAATATTTTTTAAATTGGATACATATGCATATATAAATGCAGAGAGATGTGTGTTATATAAGATGCAAACAGTCAACAATCTAAAAAAAAACTGTAGTTGCCCTACCAACTTCTGACATCTGTCAAAATAAGCTGGAAAGTGGTATTATATGTAATGTAGCTCATTCCTTTCATTAATTCAGTAGTTATTTCATAACCCAATTAATTAAAGATGAAATATCACCAATCACTTAATTTCCTATCATGGAATCCATTATTTATAGAAGATGACTAAAGGTGGCATTAAATCTTACACATAAATGTCTTTCTTATTATTTAAATTCCTGAGCTTTTTCATAATGAAGATCAGTAGGATTACCTATGTAAAACTATTACATAAGAATATATAGTAACAAGAATAAGGAACGTGGTAGCCTTAATGAGGTAATCACCCCATGCATATATTAAAAGAAATGAAGTTATTTTTCTTTTGCCAAATTTCTTTTAATTTTCAAGAGACTGCATTTACTTCATTATTTCCCTCTCCTTACTTCTTTCTTGCCACTCTTAGAACTGTATTTTTCTATCTGGAGCAAAAAACATTTGGGAGGCAGGGAAGCAGAGGCGTAGAAGACAATCTGACTACGGATCGATACCTTTTAGCCCTTTTCACGTAGGGGTTGAGGTGAAGAAATGGGAGAAGAGATCCCTGTGAGAGACAGGCTATTATCATAAGATGCTAGAGGTGGTTTCCCAGGGACAGTTCTGCCACAACAGGACTGATGGAGGTAAGATGACGGCAAGATACAATGCCAGGAATATGAAAGGCATAGGGATGAAAAAAAGTCTTGCTTCCCTGAATGCTAATAACCTGGGGCCCCTTGCTAGTTATGGCTGTGCCAATATGCTTCCTCTATTAATCATACCCAAAGGAAAAAGAAATGAATCCTTTAAGATTCCTTTTCCTATAGCTCAAGCCTTACTTAATAAGATAATATGAAGTAATATAAGTAACTCTTTGCTAAAAGTGTAGGGTATTACCATTTAACTATTAACTGAAAGTTGTAGAGCATATAAGATCCTATTTTTCTAAGCTGTAACTGAAATGTAATATTGCCTTCAATTACAACTCTTATAATTTTTTTTCCTAAAGAGAGATCCATAGGCTTCATCAGACTACCAAAAGTTTCCATTACAGACAGAAAAAGGTTAAAAATTCCTGCTTTAGGCAGATTTGAGGATTCTAGACCTTTTAAATTGCCTGCAGAGTTAATGGCATGAACTTCAAATGTGACATAGTAATCACTACCTTAAAATAAAAGATAGGCATTATCTGTCCAAACAATGTTTGAGAAGATTAGAATTATTTTAAAGATTATTTTCATAATTAGCCACTCAGTCACAGTCACAGTGGTTCAACAGGGGCAGACCTCATATGAACACTTGAATAAAGGAAAGATCTGCCCTGAAAATTGTTTGGAAGGCTGAAACTATCAGATTCATTGTGTGTGTGTGTGTGTTTGCAACTATTCTAACTTCTGGAGCTGATCACTATTTGGAACTTGGTATCATTTTGCTAACCTAGATGGTGCAAACTTTGTTTTGGTTTTTTTTTTCCACAAGCTGTAAAAATGTCTAGCAAAAAAATTTTAGTCATTCAGATATGGGCCACTTTCCCAAATATGGGGCATATCCTTAAAATTAAAGATCTTTGAAAGAAAAATTAGCTTCCACAGTTCAGTACTTCAAAGGAACTACAATCTCGCCAAACTGGATAATCTTTCCAATGGTGCAAAAAACCCATTAACACCACATCCTGCACCATACTTACCTGTATCTTAGAGAAATCTTCTACAGAAGAACCACTCTATGTACTAGGCCTTCCTCTAGCTTTCATTCATTATTGTTGTGGTGGTTGTTGTTTCTTTTTGGGTTTGGTTTGGTTTGGTTTTTTATAGGGAAGGAATATTTTTATTTTGTCTTTGTATGTCTTACACAAAGTAGATGCTTAATAAATGGATAGACAATGGAAGGCTCAAACTTTTTTTTTTAAACACCAAAGTGAATCTACACTGAAGTGAAGTGCTGTATCTACTGTGTAGGATCTTCAATTCCCTTCCAAGGCACATTTGGTTTTTTACATTATTTGTTTATCAGTGCAATCTATGACCTATCCAGCATTACTTCCTCTTTCCATACAATCAACCCACCTCCTTCTCTGGTTATATTTTTCTTAGTGATTTATGTTATAATGCTTCTTATGTGTGGTTCTTGGGTGGTGCTATATTGCTGCCTACTCTTTCCCACTCTTCATTTCTCTATTGCCCTTTGAATGACACACAGGCAATGGTGAGAAATCCAAAGGACAATGATAGCTATATCCTGAAAATAGTATCATAAAACTATAGTATAGAAAACACTTGTGCATTTTGTGAATATTTTCACACACACACAAACACACACATATGACATAGTATCAGATTAAAGGGAACCTAAGAAAGTGAGGGAAATTTGGGATGGAAAGCAAACACTGGGGTTTTTGCTACCTGCCTCCTGACAGAAAGGTAATAGACTAAAGATGTAAAAAGATATGAATGTCATTGGACACAGTGGATTTGTTTTGCTTGACTATGCATGTTTTTTGGAGGGTTTTATTTTTCTTTTTTTCCCCTGTGGTTGAGGGAGGTGAAATGGAGAGAAAATAATGCTTTTTATATCAAAAAAGTAATTAAAGATGAGCAAACAAATCTTCCTTGAGAAATCTTTTTGCTATTGAGCAGACCAAGAGGGTGCTCACTGGTTATGATGAAGTTTGGCAAAAGTGAGAATTCAGGAGAAAGTGTAACTTATCTTCAGAATAATACAGTGGTTTCTAAGATATTAAGTTAATTTATTTGTTAATAGATACTAAATACAGTAATAAATAAAATAATATATAATGGCATTGGTATATTATAAATATAATTTATTAATAATAAAATATTAATTGGTTAAATTAATTAAATTGATTAAAATAAAATTAATTAAATTCGAATCAATCCAAGAACACAAGTTATAGGGTGGAGTTGATGTTTAGCTTTGTGATAACTATTCAGAAGGGCTAATGTGAAATCAGCATTTGAATCCTGGCTCAAACTTTTACTGACTGTGTGACTTTGGTGAGGCATGTAATCTCTCTGCAACTTAAGTCCTCATCTATAAAATTAAAATATTGACTAGATGACCTCTGAAGTTCCTTCCCACTTTAAATCAATGAGCCTACGACTTTACATGACTCTTCTTTGCATTCTAAGAACTCATATGGATTTTGAAACATGAATAACTAGTATGCTACTCCATTTTCTGTTGAGCCACTGACCACATGTGTAAAGTCAAAATGGGTAGGTTAACATAGTGGAGAAAGTCAAAAGTTCTGTGATTGGAGCCAAAGATCTGGGTTGAAATCAGTATTACTTTGTACTACTTGTGCAACTTTATGAAAATCTCTGTTTCTGTCTTTCTTATGGTACATAGGAGTGGTTGGGAGGGACATTAGAAATCATCTACTCTAAACTCTTGACCCATGCAAGTATAATGGGGACAATACTGCCAAAAATCAGATATCCAGGTAATGTTTGAAACATTTCTCTTAATGAAAAACTCCCTAACTCAAACTAGTCCATTACATTGTTTTTAAATAGCTATGATTGTTAGTCTCCAATAACTTTTAACTTAAATTATTCTTTCTTCCAAAATATTAGCCCATATTTATTCTGTTTAATATAATTTTTTTCATAAACTTTTACAAAGTTTCTCTAGATCATTTCCTTGATGTTAGAATCAACCAATAAGCAATATTTTAGTGAGAGTGTAGGAAAAGGATGGACAAAAATAATTAAAGCAGTTCTTTTTGTGGTAGCAAAGACCCGGAAACTGAAAGGATGCCCATCAATTGGGGAAGAGCTAAACAAGTTATGGTATGTGAATGTGATAGAACACTATTGTGTTGTAAAAAATGATGAAGGCAATGATTTCAGAAAAACCTGGGAACATTTTAAGAACTGATATAAAATGACGTATGTAGAACCAGAGGAATAATTTATGCTGTAAATATTATAAAGCAATATTATAAATATAATCAACGATGTAACTAATATCATTTTTTGTGGAGGAGGCAAAGATAAATGGATGAAATAACACAATCAAACTGATCTAGAACAATTTGGATGGAAGAATTTTACAAGTATTTAAGTTTAATGTCAATGTGGCAGGAGGTCTCTAGTGGAGCTCCTCGGGGATCTGTGCTAAGCCCTATGCTGCTTAACATTTTTTATCAATACTCACATAGGGACAGAGATGACACGAGCATAAAAATTTGCAGATGGATAACTAACTGGATGACAGAGTCAGGATTTGAAAGCATCCTGATCGGCTAGATTATATTTTAGCTTATACAACATTGGGTTGAATCTAATACAATGAAATTCAATAAAGATAAATATGAAGTCTTGCACTTGGGTACGAAAAAATCAACTTAACAACATATGATGGGAAAGACATGGATAGATAGTAGTTATTCTCAAACAATATTTTGAGATTTTATTAGATTGCAAGCAAGCTTAATAAGAGTCAGTGTGTGATGCAG